GCGGGAGAACCGGGACAACATTGGTTGGGCCTGTGGACGGAACAGAACAAGTGCGAGATCTTTGACAGTTATGGGCTGCCCCTGCACGTGTACACCCACCCCGACCTGCACCAATGGTGGAGTCAATGGAAGCACCTGATCCGCAGTGACCAGACCCTGCAAGCCCTGGATAGTCAGACCTGTGGCCATTATGCGTTATTTTTCTTGAAAGCCCGTGCTCAAGGCCAGTCCTATCAAGACTTTTTGGGGCAATGGAGTTGCGACAATTTAGTGTTGAATGATCAGAAAGTGGCCGAGCAATTGAAACGGGTGATTAAACAAGAAGTACAAGATGAAGTCGATGCCCGCCCAGAGGGAGGGCAAAAGAATGTGAGCCGCCAGGCCTTTATGCTTTGTAATCCTTGTGAGTGTTGAAATAAAAAAACACCATAAAACGAGATGTGTGGTGAAAGAGTGGTCATTTGAAATCTCATCATGATTAAGCGAGGGGATGTCCAGCGTGTGATTGACGCCTTCATGTTAGAAGAAACCCTGTATTGGTGGTTACACCCCATTGAACGGGTGAACACCGTCCAAGGGGTGGATGCCTGGGATGGGTATCATTGGTTGGTGGCCCGCCAACTGGCCCAAGACCAGGACTGGGTCTCCCTCAAACAGTACATGGACACCATGAAAGAAACGCATTTAAGAGAGACGATGGAACACCTGATTCAGTTCGAATCGCCACGCCTCTACCGCGAGTATTGGACGGCATGCCCAGTCACAGACGACAACGACGACGGCAGCGCGCTTCCTCCCGACGACCCCGCTTTCGTCAAAACGGGCGAGGCATCATGAGCGTGTTGGCCAAAGCGGCCAAAATCGGCTATAAATTGGGACGAAGCAAACGGTATAAACGCATGGGTGCTAAAGGGGCCACGGGTCATTATCGACGTCTGCCTCGACCGTGGGAAGGATGATCCGACACCCCAGTAGTGTGATTATCGCTGGCCCGTCGGGCAGTGGCAAGAGCGAGTTAGTGGAACAATGGTTACGGGACCTCAACGTGTTTCAAGTCCAACCCTAAAAGATCGTCTATGCGTACGACCGATGGCAACCCCGGTTTGATCGTATGCAAAAGAAAGATGGGATTCAGTTTCATCGCGGGTTACCGGACCCCCGTCATTTGACCCAATGGTTTGGCCGGACGCGCGGCGGGGTGCTGGTGTTGGACGATTTGATGGAAGAAGGGGGACAGGACAAACGCGTGTTGGATTTGTTCACCAAAGATTCCCATCATCGCAACATCACCGTCTTGTATTTGACGCAAGATTTATTCCCGCCTGGCAAATTTTCCAAGACCATTAATCGCAACGCGCATTACATTGTGGCCTTCAAGAATCCCCGGGATCAAACGGGCATACGCACCATTTTACTGCAAGCCTTTCCCGACCGATGGCGTCAAGTCTTGCGCCTATTTAAACGCATCACGTCCCGTCCCTTTGGCTATTTGATGTTGGATGTGCATCCGGCGTCGGATGATCGGTACCGCTTGTGGAGTCATTTAACGCGCCGAGAAGGCAAGGCGCAAGTCCATACCTTGCCCGTGGATGTCCCTGCCGTTCGAAAACGAGCTGCAACGAGAACTCGCCAGGGTCCGTCGGCAAAGAGAAGGCGGACAACAACGTGACTTATCGGTCCGCATGGACACCTCGACCTTCTCGCCCGCCGGGGTGGGTTCGCCCACCGCCCCTCCCCCAGATCTCAATACCATGACGGACATGGTCGCGGAATTGACCCAACCCGTGAATCGAGCCCAATTGGATCAAGAGATTGAGGATTTTAACTTGACCTACCCGGTCAATGTGGACGATGCCTTGGAGGCGTTCACCTTACCCCCCGTGGCAGGCACAGGCACCACCACCACGGCACCGCCACCACCACCCACTATCACCACCGCTCCCACCACGACAGCCACCCAAACCCGTCCCACCACGTCCACCCGCACACGCCCTACGGCCACCACCACCACCAGCTCCAGACGACCCAGACCACGCCCTGTCACCACCGCCACGACCACCACGGCTCCCTCCCGCCCCTCCACCGCCCGACGCAGTGCTGGAGCCGGCACCAGGACCACCACCTCCACGGTGACGACCCCGACGGGTCGTCCCACCGTGGCTGCCAAACAACCGCGACGACGTCCCCGCGTGCCCTCTCCACCGTCCCCCGATTCCTCCCCTCCGTCGGAGGATGAGGATGAAGATGATGACGACGAGGATCGACGGCGAGGCTTAAGGCGACGGTTGGATTTGCTGAACGAAGATGCGCAAGAACGGGCTCGAGGGAGACGCATTCGCAATATCACGCATACCAATACCGTCACCACCGTGTATGAAGAGGGAGGCCGACCTTCGGTACGTCGCACGTCCACGCGAACCTCCAGTCCAAGTCCGCCCCCTGCACCGCCCCGCCGAGGTCGTGGCCGTGGCCGTGGCCGAGCCCGTGGACGGGGTCGACGCCCGTGAACAAAAAGATATAAAAACAGGGGTCCTTCCTTCGACCGTCCCAAAACCATGTGTGGCCGATGTCGAAGTGGGATGGCCCCTCGACGCAAACGCAAACGCACCACGACCCGACGTCGACCCCCCGCCAAACGACGAAGAGGTCAAGTGGGGGGTGTCGGGCCCGGTCTGCCTCTCGGGATTCTCAAAGCCGGGTATGGGATCACCAAAGCCATTGGGGATCATCAAACCAAGCGTGCCATTGCCATTGGCGAAAAACGCCGACGAGAAGTGGCATCCGGCAAACGGAAACGCTATGCGGGGGAATCGTTTAATTGTTCCATCATGTGAAAAAAATAGTATAAAAGACAAGAGGCGTGTCTTTCGTTGGACAGACAAGGGATTATCATGCATTGTTGTCCACGACGACGAACACGACGCCGACAGCAACGAGGGGGTATTCTCCCGCTCCTCCTCCCTATTGCCGTCGGTGCAGCCATCGCCTTGAAAAAAAAGAAAAAGAAAAAAGTGGGCAAGATCAGTGCCAAGCAACAGGCATTCATTCAACGACGGGTTCAGCGGATGTTAGGTCGAACGGGGTGGGGCGGGTTTAAAACACTGAGAAAGCTATAAAAGACACGCTGGGTAGGGACCCAGACATTATTGGAGGATGGTCCGTGGACCCAATGGACGCCGACACCGTTATGTCCCCCGAAAACGACGCCGTCGACGTGGTCTGCAACGCGGAGGTAGGCTACCGTTGTTGGCAATGGCTCTCTCGCCTTTGTGGCTCCGAAAATACAACCCCAGGGTCCGTGTTCGTCGACCGGACTAGACCCCCCCGTAAGGCCATCACGTTGACGTTAGAGTGGACGGAGGAGATCGAGGCCGCGTTGTGTCAGCGATGTCGACGTCATATGCAACGGCATTATCATGGGGCACTGTGTCGTTCATGTGGGGCCCAATTTACCATAAATAGAGCGGGGTCGTGGCAATTCCTCAACCTTCAGCATGGCGTGGCGCATGGAACGTCAAGCCCCGTTCTTGAAAAGTGTCTTACAAGAAGCCAATCAACATAAACGACAAGAATTGTTGCGGATGGCGAATGCGGATCAGATCAATGCCATCAGTGAATTGGTGATGAACACGCTCCGTGGCACCGTGCCCCGCTCTCGACATACCATCACGTTGCTCAAACCCCACGCCCAGAGTTTACGCGCCATGGCCAAACCCGCGCATTCGGTGAAACGACGGCGCGCCATCATGATGGCTCAAACCGGCGGCGCCCTCTGGCCTGAACTCTACCGATGTTATAAACGTTGCATGCGCTAGACAAGACACCTCAGTTGCACTATGGAACCCGAGATGGTGAGCACCACGGTGGACAACGCCCCTGCTTTTTTACAATTAAAAGAGAAGTACAAACAAGAATTGGTGGAAGATACTCGCTTGAGTAAAGCCGCGGATTTGGCGGCCAGACAACATGTCCTCCTGACCAGCGAGGTCCCCGATGCCTGGAAACGGCCGCAACTCAAAGCCGTTAGCCGTCAGTTACGCCATTGGACCAAAAAAGTGCGTCAACCCTTTGGAGCGCCAGCGGGGGGTGTGCGCGCCGCAGGGGCCACCACGCCCGGAGAGGATGATGATTTTGAGGCGGGGCCTATGCAAGCGTGGTTCACGCAGTTGGTCAAAGCCACCCAGGGTATAAAACAAGGCTCCACGCCGAGTGGACCCAGAAAACCACCTGTCCCGCCTAAACCGAACATCACCCCGAGTGCCAAAAAGAAACTCAAGTTTACGCCCCAGGTGAGCAGTGCCGAGTTGGCACACGAGCTGCCCTTTTCAGAGGAGCCTGGCACAGAACCCTGGGATACCCCCAGTGAACGTGTGGACTCTATCAAGAAAGCGGTCAAGCGCGGGATTCGCAAAAAAGCCGCCGGGGTCGCCAAAAAGAAAGCCACCAGTCTGGCCAAGAAAGCCTTGGATTGGAAATCGTGGAAAACCCCGTGATGGGACGGAGACGTCGTGTGGCGGCTACCTCCCGTGCCCGACCGAGGCGACGACGACGATCGCAACGCGGGGGCAAGTTATTTGATGTGCAAAACCTCCTCAACAAGACGGGCATTGAATTTCATTGGCCCGGCTATCAGTACATGGGCCCTGGCACCCATTTGAAAAAACGTTTGGCCCGTGGGGATCCCGGCATCAACCGGTTAGACAGGATTGCGAAAGTGCATGACATGGACTATGATAAAGCCAAGACCTTGAAAGATAAATGGGTGGCGGATCGCAAGATGATTGCCAAGATTGATCAACTCCCTGGCCGCAAAACCCTGACGGAGCGTATTGTCAGACGCATTATGAAAACCAAACTGAGATTGGGCATGTAATTAATTTGAACACAGTCATCACAAGATAACAAGATTGAATGATATAAACACATGTTTTAATAAAACTCCTCTTTGTTCTTACAAATACTGCTGCAATTGTTGTAACGCGTTTGAACGAGTCGATTGTACAGGGTCCTCTTCAGGCTCGGAGTCGGACCAGTCTAACGGCAACCACGGGAGGGGAAAGGGACGCTCTAATTGTTCGTCCAACCATTGCCAACGTTGACGCCGAATCGATTCCATCCGTTGCTCGTACTTTTTTGATTGCAAGGCTTTCCACCCCTCTTCGCCCAAGACTCGCTTTTTCTCTGCTTGCAACGCCCGTCGCCGTTCATTGAGCCGATGTTTGTAGGCCTCGTAGGTCCCCTCTTCCTTCATTTTCGCCATCCAGTTTTTTTGGGCTTGCGCGTTCCTCCGTTTCACCTCATTACGCCGCTCCTCGGACATGGCATAGTAGCGCTTCATCCCATACTCTACTTTTTTGGCTTTGAAGGCCTCGTATTCCCCGTTGGCTTTCATGCGTGCCATGCGCTCGTGGTAGCGTCGACGGTTGAGGGCCTTTGTATTCTCGATCCCATTGACAGCCGCATACTGTCGCTGTCGATACAGTTTTTGTTGAATCCTATTTTTCTCGGGGTCCCGCTTTTTTCGGCTCGATGTGGGTGTATCCATGCTCTAATTCCAGCAAACGGGCAGCACACACGTCTGCCAAGGCCCGTAACTTTCGGAATGGACTCTCTCTGGTCTGTCTCTCTCTGGCACGACGGTCCCGCTGTTGCTGTGCAATCTGTTCGCGGTGACGGTGGTAGTAGTCACGGTTCAGCAAGCGTACATAGGCTGCGTTTTTGGTTCTGTAGCGCAGACAGGCCAGTCGGTTGGCTTCTCGGGCTTGCGCTTCCTGTTCGGGTGTCGGAGCGGGTTTAGGCGGTTTGGGTGGTTTCAACTTTTTCTGGGCCGCCCGCCGTTCACGTTTCTGCTGCAACAATCTCTCTTTGTTCTTTACGTACCACGCGTGTTTCAACTCTCTCGTTTTCTCAAGATCTTTGTTGGGCATCTCGAACGCACACTGACGTCTGTTCTGGACGATGGACTTTATCTAGGGTTCAATCCACCAATCACGGATCTCGGTCCAGGCCTAGAGGAGATGGAAGGACTCTGTACCCATGGGGGGGACCACCCCTGATCTTCCTCTTGTCAATCAAACCCCCTCACCTGACTCTCACCTGAGCTGGGTCCACCAATCCCAGCGCAGGAGAGATCACGTGAGAAGGTCTATAAAAGTCCACGTCCAGCGCGGGAAATTTCAAATTGGTTGCCGCTGTCATGGCGGAGGCGTATCCTTTCAGTGACGATGACGAAGGGGATGGTCTGTTGGACCGCGCTTATGATCGTTGGGAACAGTTGGGAGGGGCTGCCGCCCGTGGCCCTCTCTTTCAATTCAGTATGCAACCCATTGGTCGACGACGCCGCTGGCGTGATGTGGTGGAGCGGGCGCAATTCAATGCGCAATTACGGCAATTGCGGGATCCTGTCCCTGGAGACAATATTGGTATGGCGTTGACCGAAGCACTCCATCAAGCCATTGAAACAGAACTGGGCCGCGAGTCACCCATGCTTACCAAACAGTCAATTTTACCGTGGGGGAGTTTTTACAACGCATGGCTCGTTTGGATGAAATGTTAGCGACGTTAGCCGGCAAGTTGAACAGCAATGAAGCCTTCAACCCCGATCGCGGTTTCCAAGTGGATGTGGTGTTTGTCTCTATGCCTGTACCAGGGTCTGGTCGACATAAACAACGCAATGTGGGACGTCTATGCCTGGATCGAGACAACAAGAAAAAGAAATGTATCATTCCTATTCGAAACAGAGATGCCTTATGCTGTGCTCGCGCTATCGTCACCATGCGAGCCCATTGCCATAAAGATCAAGGCGTGGACGGGTTTCGCGACTGGGACAATCTCAGACGTGGTCTTCCTGTGCAGTTACGACAAGCCCAAGCCCTCCATCAGCAAGCGCTAGTCGCGGAGGGTCCCTGTGGTTTACCCGAGCTGCGTCAATTTCAACAGACGTTAGGGCCTCAATATCAATTGCTGGTGATGACCCGGATGAAACCCTTTTTTCTGATCTTTAAAGGCCCTGATGCCCCTCATCCGATTCGTTTATTGAAATCCAATGATCATTTTGATGGCTGCACGTCTTTTCCTGCGTTTGTCAATCGCTCCTATTATTGCCTGGACTGTGAACGAGGGTTCAACAACAACGATCGGACCCATCACACCTGTCAAGGCAGACGCTGCAAAGCGTGCGGTCGCTTTGACTGTTCAGATTATGTGCGTGGCACCCGCCCCACGGAGTATTGCCCCTTATGTCACCGCAAGTTTTACGGCGACCATTGCATTCGTCATCATGTGGTCAGCAAGCAATGTCAATCCATCAAAACCTGTCTCAAATGTCAGGCCCAGTACACCGTCCTCCCTAACCAACGTCACCAGTGCGGGTATGCCAAGTGTCCCGTCTCTCAGGAATGGGTGTCCATCCAATACCACAAGTGTTACATTCAACCCGTGGCAGGGAATGAGGAAGAAGAACCAACCGAGGAGGGGGGAGGTAGCATGGTGGCGCCACCCCCTCCCCTGTTTGTTTACGCCGATTTTGAAGCCATGCAGAATGCGGAAGGCGTGTTTGTAGCCAATTTGTTGTGTTATTCGTCCAGTGAAGAAACGACCATTCATGTGTTGGACGGGGAGGACTGTGCCCTACAATTTTTGCGTGATTTGGATGATCTCACGGTTCTCCCGGACGCAGAGGGTGGACGGACCATTCTCGTGGTGTTTCACAATTTGAAAGGCTTTGACGGCATGTTTATTTTGCACGAACTGTACCAGCAACAACGTGAAGTGGTGGATCAACTGACGGTGGGCGCCAAAGTGTTGTCTTTCAGGAGCGGAGCTGTCAAATTCATTGACTCGCTGTGTTTCTTGCCCATGCCACTCGCCTCCTTTCCCAGCACCTTCAATTTGACCGAATTAAAGAAGGGCTTCTTTCCTCATTTGTTCAATACCCCGGATCATCAACAGTATGTGGGCCGCATCCCCGATTTGGAATTTTACGATCCCGAGGGCATGATGGTCAAAAAGAAAGACGAACTGACCCGTTGGCATGCCGACCAAGTCCGTCGTAACATGCGTTTTGATTTCCGTCAAGAAATGATCGAGTACTGCAAATCGGATGTGGCGCTGTTGAAAGCGGGGTGTGAAGCCTTTCAGCAAGAATTTGAACGGCAGGCTGGCTTCAATCCCATGGCCAAGTGTATCACCATCGCCAGTGCCTGCAATCTCTATTGGCGCAAGCATCATTTGACCCCCGATACTATAGCCGTCGAACCACTAAGGGGTTGGCGAGGCGCCCAAGTCAATCAATCCCTCAAGGCCCTACAATGGCTGTACTACCAAGAACATCTTATTCCTAAGGAGGGGGCCAGTGCTGACCGCATTCGACATGTCCGGAATGGGGGCGAGCAGTTTGTCCGGACCCTCGTGAACAGTTATTTTGTGGATGGGTACGATCCTCTGATCCGAACCGTCTACGAATTTCATGGGTGTCTCTATCATGGCTGTCCCACCTGTTTTCCCATGAGAAACGCCAAACATTATGCCACACCGGATCGAACCGTGGAGGAACTCTATCAGGCCACGCTCTCCAAACGTATGGCTCTGCTCCGAGCAGGTTACACAGTGATCGAAATGTGGGAATGTGACTGGGACCGACTGGTGGACACGGATGAAGCCGTCCAACGTTTCCTGAATTCGTTTGATCTGGTGGCTCCCCTGGAACCCCGTGACGCCTTTTTTGGGGGTCGCACCGGTGCGGTGGCTCTCCATGCCGTGGCTGAAGAGGGGGAGGAAATACGCTATGTGGATGTGACCTCCTTGTACCCGTGGGTGAATAAGAACTGCCCTTACCCTATTGGTCATCCCAAGATCATCACCCAACCCGCCGACCAGTCCCTGGAGTCCTATTTTGGTATTGCTACGGTGGATATTCTTCCACCGGCTGGCCTATTCCACCCCGTCTTGCCTGTACGCTGTGGCCAAAAGCTCACCTTTCCTCTCTGCCGTGCCTGTGTCCAGACAGAGCAAGCCCAACCCATGTTGACCCGAACCCAGTATTGCCCTCATTCGGATGCGGATCGCACACTACGCGGGACCTGGTGCACCCCCGAGCTGGTCAAAGCCGTGGTAAAAGGGTACACCCTCATCAAGATCCACGAAGTCTGGCATTTTCCCCCCGAGCAACGCCAAACGGGTCTTTTCGCTGATTACGTCAATACTTGGCTCAAACTCAAACAAGAATCCGCGGGGTGGCCCAGTTGGTGTCAGACCCTCGAGCAGAAACGAGAGTACATTCTTCGTTACCAGGAACGGGAGGGGATCCGACTGGACATTGCCAGCATTGCCAAAAATCCCGGTCGCAAGGCCACGGCCAAGCTCATGCTGAACAGCTTCTGGGGCAAGTTTGGGGAGCGCATGAACAAACCCACCACCGTCACCGTTCAAAACCCCGCCCATTTGTTCAGCCTGATCTCCGATGCGGCTCTCGATCTCAGTACCCTCCGTCTCTGTACCGACGACATCTTGGAGGCCGTTTACACCAGTGTCCAAGACAATGCCGTCAAAGGCACCAAGACCAATATCTTTGTGGCGGCTTTCACCACGTGCCATGCTCGGCTCAAGCTCTACGAGTCCCTCGACACCCTTCAACAGCAAGTGCTNACGCTATGTGGATGTGACCTCCTTGTACCCGTGGGTGAATAAGAACTGCCCTTACCCTATTGGTCATCCCAAGATCATCACCCAACCCGCCGACCAGTCCCTGGAGTCCTATTTTGGTATTGCTACGGTGGATATTCTTCCACCGGCTGGCCTATTCCACCCCGTCTTGCCTGTACGCTGTGGCCAAAAGCTCACCTTTCCTCTCTGCCGTGCCTGTGTCCAGACAGAGCAAGCCCAACCCATGTTGACCCGAACCCAGTATTGCCCTCATTCGGATGCGGATCGCACACTACGCGGGACCTGGTGCACCCCCGAGCTGGTCAAAGCCGTGGTAAAAGGGTACACCCTCATCAAGATCCACGAAGTCTGGCATTTTCCCCCCGAGCAACGCCAAACGGGTCTTTTCGCTGATTACGTCAATACTTGGCTCAAACTCAAACAAGAATCCGCGGGGTGGCCCAGTTGGTGTCAGACCCTCGAGCAGAAACGAGAGTACATTCTTCGTTACCAGGAACGGGAGGGGATCCGACTGGACATTGCCAGCATTGCCAAAAATCCCGGTCGCAAGGCCACGGCCAAGCTCATGCTGAACAGCTTCTGGGGCAAGTTTGGGGAGCGCATGAACAAACCCACCACCGTCACCGTTCAAAACCCCGCCCATTTGTTCAGCCTGATCTCCGATGCGGCTCTCGATCTCAGTACCCTCCGTCTCTGTACCGACGACATCTTGGAGGCCGTTTACACCAGTGTCCAAGACAATGCCGTCAAAGGCACCAAGACCAATATCTTCGTGGCGGCGTTCACCACGTGTCATGCTCGGCTCAAGCTCTACGAGTCCCTCGACACCCTTCAACAGCAAGTGCTCTACTATGATACCGACAGTGTGGTGTACAAGTGGCGTCCAGGTCAACCCAGTATTGCCACCGGGGATTTTCTGGGCGATATGACGGATGAATTGGACGGAGACGTCATCACTGAGTTTGTTTCGGGGGGCGCCAAGAATTATGGGTACACGACTCGCGCAGGTAAAGTGGTGTGCAAGGTCCGCGGTTTCACGTTGAATGTTCGGGGGTCCGCCATTCTTAATTTTCACACCATGAAAGAGAACATTCTCTCGGAACTAGACTCGCCTCAGGACGCTCGCCGGAATTTGAACATTGTCACTCCTTATCATTTCACACGGGATCTAGAGAAGAAACAAATTCAAGTGGTTCCGCGCGTGAAGCAGTATGGGTTGGTGTTTGACAAGCGCGTCATCGATGTGACCACTCGATCCAGCTATCCCTATGGCTACGAGAGGATTGGGGATGAACTTGATCTGCTATTAGATTTTTGTAAGAAATAAAAAAAGGGCGTGACGTCACTAGGACCTCACACACGTCCCACTTGTCACCAGGCTTTACGCGGTACGTTCAATAAAACTATGTGAAGCATGTGGATCCACCTCTTGTGTGTGCGTGTTCTTTACCCCATGGGGTCACGTGAACAAAATGACCATATTTGGGAGCTTGTGACGTCAATTTGGTCACATGGGCTAAATGCTCGATTCTGATTGGTTCTCCCAAAATTTTGCTTCGCTCTGATTGGTTAGTCCTTATTGTAGCCTCTATGACTACTCTGCGGGCCCAGAAAATTAATTAAATATTAGAATAGCTAAAATACATAATCACAAAATTCAAAGCAACACGAGATAGGCTGGGCAAGACTATGACACTTATTACAGTTAAGACAGACAGACTTCAAATGCGGGGATTTTCACAGTCGTAATTACTTAATGGCGGTTTTGTAATACTCTACCATTGCCTGTTTAAAATCATTCACGGCGTTCATGTGCAGGTTCAGTTCATCAGCAACAAAGTTCCAGACGCGTATGCATCTGATGATATCGGACTTTTGATTTAAGATGCTGTCTCACATTTAGTAGGCTCTACAAATTTTGTTTACCACTTTCCCGAACTCCAAAACCGACTGGCTACATTAAAGATTGAGGATTCAACCGGTTTACATTGCTAGCAGAGTAGCTTCGCTCTTTCTAAGAAACGTCGCTTACCTCGGAAAGATCCACGCGACTCTGCTAGAATTGAATCAACAGTTTTGAAGATAACATGATTTGACCTTTCCACCATTTTCACAATCATTTTCCCTTAATACACCTTGTTTACCGCCCGAAATTTTGCATAACCAATTACAATGACTTCAATTTATCTTGGGACGAATATAAAAACTCAAGGGAGATTAGTTGAAAATTGAAGAATGTAAAAAAAAAAAAAAGAAAGAAAGAAAGAAAGAAAAATGGGCTGGTTTTTGACTGAACTCTGACCAGCTTTTATTCTTAGGTTCTGATTTGATTATTTGATTTGGGGATTTCATTCGAGAAACGGGTCACTTGTCTATCTGTTGTGCAATGCAGAACTGACGTTTATAAAGTAAACCTTGCTTAAGGATTAGGGGAGGGGCATTTTAATTACTCTTCGCTTCTCCCTTCCTTCCTCCCCCTACACCCTCCCGAAATGCCTGATGCTCAGTCTCAGTAACGCCCTGAAATACGCGCAACTTCCAAATATTAAGTGCCACACCAACAAAGAGCTTATAAGTTCCGTGGCATAATCATAGTTTTTTTTTTTTTTTTTGGAA